CCCTGCAGAGCCCCGACATAATTAGCCCCGAGCCGGCTCGGAAACCCGAAATCCCTGCTCCGGCACTCGCCCGCCGCGGCCAAAGTTGTTGAAACAGCCTTCACTCTGTTTTCTTCCCCGTCTCGTTTCTCATCATTTTTTCCCTCTTTTTCGCCTCACTCACACACACGCACACGCGCCCCCACAGGGTCTCTCTCTGGGGGTGCAAGTTCCTCGCCTCCCTCCCAGGTCCCACAGGCGCCAAGCGCCGCGCGGAGGCCCGGACGCCGCCCCCCACACAGCCCGGCCGGGACAACCCGCCTAAGACTTAAGGACTGAGTTTCACCCCGATTCGCTCGCCAAGGGCACCCCCGCTCTGAAAACAAAGCAGCTGGTCTGACGTGGGGTGTCTGCCCCCCGCGCCGCGCACAACAGGAGTCCCGGAGAAGCACCCGTCTCCGAGGGATGTCACCCCGTGCCCCAGGGGGGTGGGGAGAGCGGAGAGAAAGGGCCCGGGAAAGGAGCGAGATTTAAAATCGTCTGCGAATAGGAGGGGAAGGGAGACGGGCGGCACCACGTTCACAGAAACCCAGGTTCCGATTTCGGGACAGACAGGCCCCCTGCCGCTGCGCCCGCGCAGACCTCCCTGCCTGGCGCTCCCAGCTCCAGATGCCAAGGAGAAAGAAAGGAAAGGGGGGAAAGAGCAAAAGCCGGGACTGCCGCCTCTTTATTTAGGTAATCTCCGGCCGCGGCCCCCTCCCCCTCTCGTGACTCATCGACTCCTCTCGGCCGGGGCGGTACGGGCGGCAGGAGCGGCGGCCGCCTGGCCGGGTCTCAGGGCCTCCGGCGCGCGGACCGGTAGTGCCGGGGCTTCCCCGGCTCCGGGAACCCGAGCTCCCGGGACCCTGGGTTTTTTAAAGGCACCAATGACAAAAAGAGTGTGAGTGAAAGACATATGACTAAAGAACAGGGCGAAAAATTCCAAGTTAAGAAGACAGGCACAAACTTCATACTGGGTGCCTCTCCCCAGCTACCCCTACCTCCGTGCCCACAGGGCGCCCCCCACCCCCACCCCGTGGAGGCGCCAACCGAGTGCTCAGAGAGAAGCGGCGCGGAACTTCCTGAGCAGCGAGAGCACCTGGAGCGGCCCGCGGCAGTTGGGGAGAGGAGTGATCGCACCCTGAACCCGCTGAAACGGAGATGCGGCCCCCTCTCCACAGAGAAATGAGCCTTTTTTTAAAAAAGGGTTGGGGGAGGAATAAATAAGCCAGTAAGTAAACAAGCAAACAAACATGAAGGGTCAGAGAGGAAGTTAAAAAAGGTAAAGGGTTTTCTCTTTCCTTTCTCTTCCTGGTGACTTGGGCTCCCAGAACCTCGCCAGAGAGGCACGCGGAGCGCACGGGCGCGTGCCCCATGGCCAGCAATCGCTTCCAAAACCCATGCTGGTCTCTCCTCTCCCTCGTCTTGGGCACAGGCAATGTTGCTCAGAAAAGGGGGGGAAAGTGGGGCACAGGCTTCGAAGGGGCGACATGAGAAGGGGAGCGCCCGCTGGCTCGCTGTCCGACCTCTCCCCGGCATCTTTCGGGCGAATCGGAGAGGCGGGCGCGGCGCGGCGCGGGGCGAAGTTTGTCCACCCGCACTTCTCAGCGGGCTGCGAGGAGCGGAGGTGCGGAGGGGAGAGCTCGGATCCTGAGGCCGCGAGGAGAACTGAGCCGGCGCCGCGCTTACCTCGCAGTCCTCGTACTTGATATTATCCGTCAGTTTCCAAAGCATTTTCATGGATCGGCGTGAACTGATTGGCCCCCTCTCTGCCTCGCACCCAAGTGCAGCTACTCGCGGGGTAAGCGCAAAGTGCCGGCTGTGACGGTGAGCGGAGGAGGAGGAGGAGGGAGAAGAGGAGGAGGAGGGCAGAAAGGGGGAGGAGGAGGTCGAGGAGGAGGAGGGTGAGGAGGAGGAGGCGAGAAGGGAAA